ACTATGGTTTGCTACTGGTTTGTAAGAGACTATGATTTGCTACTGGTCTGTAAGAGACTATGGTTTGCTACTGGTTTGTAAGAGACTATGGTTTGCTACTGGTTTGTAAGAGACTATGGTTTGCTACTGGTTTGTAAGAGACTATGATTTGCTACTGGTCTGTAAGAGACTATGGTTTGCTACTGGTCTGTAAGAGACTATGGTTTGCTACTGGTTTGTAAGAGACTATCGTTTGCTACTGGTTTGTAAGAGACTATGGTCTGTAAGAGACTATGGTTTGCTACTGGTCTGTAAGAGACTATGGTTTGCTACTGGTTTGTAAGAGACTATGGTTTGCTACTGGTTTGTAAGAGACTATCGTTTGCTACTGGTTTGTAAGAGACTATGGTTTGTAAGAGACTATCGTTTGCTACTGGTTTGTAAGAGACTATCGTTTGCTACTGGTTTGTAAGAGACTATGGTTTGCTACTGGTTTGTAAGAGACTATGGTTTGCTACTGGTTTGTAAGAGACTATGGTTTGTAAGAGACTATCGTTTGCTACTGGTTTGTAAGAGACTATGGTTTGTAAGAGACTATGGTTTGCTACTGGTTTGTAAGAGACTATGGTTTGCTACTGGTTTGTAAGAGACTATGGTTTGCTACTGGTTTGTAAGAGACTATGGTTTGCTACTGGTTTGTAAGAGACTATGGTTTGCTACTGGTTTGTAAGAGACTATGGTTTGTAAGAGACTATGGTTTGCTACTGGTTTGTAAGAGACTATGGTTTGCTACTGGTTTGTAAGAGACTATGATTTGCTACTGGTTTGTAAGAGACTATCGTTTGCTACTGGTTTGTAAGAGACTATGGTTTGTAAGAGACTATGATTTGCTACTGGTTTGTAAGAGACTATGGTTTGCTACTAGTTTGTAAGAGACTATGGTTTGCTACTAGTTTGTAAGAGACTATGGTTTGTAAGAGACTATGGTTTGTAAGAGACTATCGTTTGCTACTGGTTTGTAAGAGACTGGTTTGCTACTGGTTTGTAAGAGACTATGGTTTGTAAGAGACTATGGTTTGCTACTGGTTTGTAAGAGACTATGGTTTGCTACTGGTTTGTAAGAGACTATGGTTTGCTACTGGTTTGTAAGAGACTATGGTTTGCTACTGGTTTGTAAGAGACTATGGTTTGCTACTGGTTTGTAAGAGACTATGGTTTGCTACTGGTTTGTAAGAGACTACCGTTTGCTACTGGTTTGTAAGAGACTATGGTTTGCTACTGGTTTGTAAGAGACTATGGTTTGCTACTGGTTTGTAAGAGACTATGTTTTTTTTTTTTTTGTAGATTTAATGGCAGGTATTTTAATTAAACACTGGAGGAAATCTCTTTTCCTTCCATCAACATGCTGTAGGTGTTTATACAGTAAAACAGGCATTTGGGTGAGTACACGTTTCAAGTTAAACTAATTAAAACAAATTCACTGATTATGAATTTGCTATGATGTATAAGTGCATCTGCAATAGTTATTGGAATGGAAACCACAAATGCACTGTCCAAACATTAAGTATACAGTCAAATCTGTGCAACTGGCCAAGGTAGAAAAGTCAAGGCAAATGATATAATGCTCCCAGATGAAAGAGCTCAGCTCAACAAATGTAGGAGAATGCAATTTACATTTTTTTTTATCACTTTTCATTCCCCAGATAATCAAATTTTCGTCAGTATTGTATATTCCATTGTCTTTATTTTTTTTTTTGTGTGAAAAAATGAGAAAATAGAATGACAATTTTTTTGATGCCTTTACATAGTCAACAGGTTTATGTATCACCTGTATAAGCTTCTCGCATCGATAAATTGTAAAAAAATATATGAACAATTGATCATTTGGTAGAAAAACACAAAATGAATATTTTCAGTTCTATTGCCATGACAACTATCTTATATGCATGTTTGGGCACCGGTACATATATGCTATCATGTTCTAAACTTTCAAACTATTTGAATTTAAACATTTTATGTTATAGATGAAATCATTTTCCCAATTTCTAACAGTGGATATGATGTCATACTTTACCTATAATCCTTTGCTTGAGAATCAAGATGGCTGACTACATAAACTGATGAAAAGTTGAATATCTAGAGAAGAAAAAGTAATATAATAAAAAATTATTGTAAATCTTTTTACATTTGTGGAGCTCTTCCATCTGGGAATATAATGTTGTTAGCCTTGTCTTTTCCTTTAAAGAAATTGCCCTTTATAAACTGGTGGTCATTATATGAAGTTTGATTAATTCATTTTTGAATATGATGTATTTTATACATTGTCAAAGTTAAGTAATAAAAGCTACACTGTCCAAAATTTATCTTTGAATACAATTTTTTTGCAGGAGAAAAAATTTACTATTGAACAACGCCAAGAAGTTGAGGATTACTGGAAACAGGAATTGATCAAGCATAATGAAAGAAGCAGACTTTCACAGAGTGTATGTCATAATAGAATTCTTCTCTTAAATGCCTGACAATTTTGAGGGTATGAGAAGTTTACTACAAAGAAAGTAGTACACTGAATGTAATGGCTGACACGTAGCTGAGGTTGCTGTACATCTTACCATCATAATTCAATGTGATATATGAAATGTCAAGGATTCATTCCTGCTTCATCATTTGCATTCAGTTATGATATTCTATTACAAAATGTGATGTAAATTTTGCACAAGTTCCTAAATAAGAAAGAATTCCATATCACGTTTAAACACTTGTACTGAATGTTTTCCATTTCTGTGTACAGAATAAGAAAGAGAAGTTCTATGTTTTATCTATGTTTCCCTACCCATCGGGAAGACTTCATATGGGCCATGTTCGTGTCTACACTATCAGTGACACTGTAGCCCACTTCCAACGTATGAATAATAAACAAGTACTTCACCCAATGGGATGGGATGCATTTGGGTTACCAGCAGAGAATGCTGCGATAGAAAGAAAGCTACCACCAGAAGATTGGACATACAGGTAATGCTTCCCCTAAGCAAATTTATCACTCAAATATTTAATCAGGTGTCACCGAGAAACCTGGGTATTTGAGAGAAAATTCTAAAAAAAATGATACCTAGAGAGCACACTGGTACATTTGTAATGAAGATAAAAAACCCACAAACCTCACTAAAATTTGAAAAACTTCAATGGATAAAAGACTATACTGGCATAAATTAGAACACTTGTTGCTGATAAAGAAACGTTCATGTTTTAACTGTCTCTCAACTAGTGTTTTATGTTCTCCACTGATTCAGTCTTTTATCTAAGTAATGAATTGATTTACAAACCTCCGTGTGGTCTATTATTGCTCTTTTGTTTTTCATAACTACATTGTGAACACATTTCATTCCAATACAGTATGCTGTATTATGGTTGTATCAACTACATTAGCTTTCAAATAATATTCGGTAGTCAGAAAAATCTGTTCTGTCAGAACCATTTGCACTGCGAGTCAGTTCTGGGTGGCCACATTTGAAAAAAACACAGATCAAGCTATGCGAGGGGAAAATGTCTGTCATCGTTGTTGATGTAGTCATTTGTTCTTGTAGTTACATTAACTCAAGCAGTGGTCCATGTTCTTTTTTGTGGTTACTATAAGCATTATTTTTTATCATCTTCAAATTTGGAAATCTTATCAATCACTAAAATATGTCAACCAAGTTCAATTTTGGTGCAACTTGCAAGTTTGGGGTTTAATTTGGCTTGAATAAAACATTTTGTTAGATGTAGAAATAAGTGGACATAATAAAGACATTTACATACCAGATGTCAATGATATAGTGCAGTATACTTTCATTATGAATACAAGTTAAAAAAGTGGCAAGTATAGTTTTTTGCCTTTTTCGAATTTGCCTAGTATTTTATATTTCTTATATATGTAACTAAAATATTTGGTAACTTTTATACAATTCATGTTGTATTGTTCTGTAAGGGACATTGAGATTAATATAGTACATGTAGTATTAATTGAGGAACAAGTTGGCATCTTGCTGAATATTAATTAGTTTTTTTATGTAATTATAATGCCTATTTTTGGTCAGAATTGTTCACACCTGAAATTCAGCCAGAATTTTTCCACAAAATGTTTAGATAAATTATTGTATTGTTTCAGGACTTTTATACTCACTTTTGCAAAGAAAAAAAAAAGAATTTATTACGACACCTTCAGATTTATTCCTCCCAAACTACCCGGTACTCCCAGCAGCTATGAACAAGGGTATTGTAATAATTGTTGTACTTTATTTCTTTTCTATTTAGCAATATAGATTATATGAGGAAACAACTGCAAGATCTGAGCATGTGTTTTGATTGGGATAGGGTGAGTGGATACATTAATTCTATCTATGCGAGTACGGTGGTTGTCTGGGTCGGGTGATCTATCCTTAGTACTGGTGTTAGTCAAGAACACATACTACATCTATCAAGGTTCATTAAAGAAAATGTCATGGTATTTTTGTTTCTCAGGAAATATTCACTTGTCGAGAAGATTATTACAAATGGACACAGTACATATTTTTGCAATTTTATGAATCAGGACTTGCATATCAGAAGTTAGGATGGGTTAATTGGGATCCTATTGACCAAACAGTATTAGCCAATGAACAGGTATTACACAATCATGGCATGGTGTTGACTGCAAATGCAAGAGTTTTTTTAACCCTCACCTGACACATTTTTTGGACAAGATTTGACTGATTTCATTCAAATATACGTGGCTCGTTTATTTATTTATTGCACATCAAAAGTGTTGGGCTGGCGGCCATTTTTATCTTGCATATCAAAAGTGTGTTAGCCAATGAACAGGTACTTTGTCCATTCGCATTTATTTGTAATTTTTTTAACCTTTTCACCACCAAAAATGTTCACCCAAGCACTTTTTAGCTCCGCTGTCGACTTTGTCGAGCGGAGCTTATCATATGAGTGATTGTCCGTTGTCGTCCGTCGTCGTCCATGTCAATGTTTTACTTTTTTGACTTCTTCTTGAAAACTACAAGCCTGAATGCTTTGATACTTGGTGTCTATGTACCTTGGGTAGACCTCTTTGAGGTTTGTTCATTTCATGTTGATATCTTCAATTCTCTAATTT